TACTTAGATAATCGAATGTTGCTTCAGCAGGGACAATGCTTGTTTTCTTACCGATAACTATGTCCTCTCGCCCATACTTCGTGCTGATTGAATAGTTTTGGATCTTCACTGGGGATTTTTGCACTGCCATGTCTTCCAAACTTTGATGTTTTTCAGTGGCGAAGCAAACAGCTCTGACTACTGAGGACTCTCTCTGGATATCACAGTTGATATACGATGTCCATTTGATTTCTTCAATGGGGACACCGAATGGACATAGCAGCCAATTTCTGGTAGTTCTAGAAATTTAAATAGCAATGAACAAGCATCAAGTATGCAATATCATTGTCATTTATATAAGTAATGGTATGAGAGAAATCTTTAAAACCTTAATTTTACTTGTATTCGTCCAAACAGATGTGTTTTAATTAGCTGTGATTTTACAAGTATTTGTCCAGAAAGTTTTTTTGAACCTTAATTTTACTGTTGTTTGTCTGGAAAAACTTTTTTGAACATATTTTTGGATATTTTCGGGAAATTTTTTTATCCCCCCAATTAAAAATTTGCCCCAGGCCCCCCAATTTCTCTGTGTGGCCCTGTTTATACATATGAAATATGAGACCAGCGTGGTCCCGGATAAATAATCACTATGAAAAAAAATAATACCTTCATTCCTCTTTGCCATTTTTCCAATAAACTATTTTGAAAGCGAGACCTACAGATTTAAACAGAAATGATCATGAGGTCGTGAGAAATTTCAAGTGTGTGCTATAAATAAATACGTCTATTTATAGGTCTACAGAAATTAAAGGGGCAATGTGATCGATTTTTGACCTAAAATGCCTTTTATTCAAAAACTGTTAAAAATAAACATTGTAATTGGATTAAGTTACGATATATGAATCATATTAAACAACTTTGAACTTCCACGCCACATGTAACATGACATTTTCATAAAAATTGACTAAAACTTGAAGAAGTGTCTGTCAACAATAGACCTTTCCCAGGATACGTGTGGCCGAGCGTGAAAGCGAGGCTCTGGTAAGTACATGGCGCCAATTTTCAATATGGCGGATCAACAAAGTCTGCAAGGGTGCAAGAAAGCGAATTAAAAACGTGGCTTAAAGCTCGTGGACTTAAAGTTTCAGGAAGAAAACAAGACTTGATCACTCGTGTAACAAAAGCCGAACAAGACGGCACTGAATTACTTGTGAACAGGGAAATGAGAGAGAAAAATGAGCGAGAGAAAAGAATGATCGAGAAGCTTAAAACTCCGTTTGAGGATCTCCCAAATCCTAAAACACTAAACAACTGGACCGAGGATCTCTCATATCTACCAGTAATAACTGTTAATGAAATTAAGGACTATTTAGTGTATGGAAAATGCAAATTCTACGCAAAAGAAGACATGAAGTGTTTTAAACAGTTAAAAGCTTTCAAATTTTTCATGGATGGCCATGTACAAGATATTAAGCTTAGTATTATTGACGCAACTAGTAATTATTGCTTCGTAAAAGCAAAGATTTTACCATCAATGCGCACAAACCGTGTTTATGAGACCTGGATTTCCGTCGTTAAAGAAACTGCTAAAGTCTTATCTGCAGTTTGTAACTGCACAGCAGGGTAAGCAACATGCATCTGTTTGCGTTCTTGTTATATATATTTTAACGATATTCTAAATTATAAATAAGATATTAAGCAAGCAAACAAACAAACAATAGTTGGATGTATAATATTCTTGGTTGACATGTAGTTTTCTTAATTAATTTTGCTTCCGTTTGTAGGTTAGGTGAAGCATGCAATCATATTGCAGCATTACTGTTTGCTGTTGAGGATTATGCCAAGACCTATAATCAACCCTCCTCCAGTAGCACTTCGTGTACATCAAAGCCGTATGAATGGAACAAACCACGTAGCAGAAAACTCAGTCCCAAGGAAATAAGTCAAATGAGA